CTGAAACTGAAATTGTTTTTGCCATGAAATCTGTGGATATTTCCCAGGTGTTAGTTTGGACTTGCATACTCATTTGGTCAAATCTAAAAGAACATATTTAAGTTTTACTATTTTTTTCTGCAGTGATTGCATCCCCGACATTAGTGTTGTCCAGGTGGCATCAATCTTTGAAGTTTAAGTTTTTATTCTAAATAATTTAACTTGACTATTTGTGTTTTTTTGTTTTGTTTTGTTTTGTTTTGTTTTGTTTCAAATACCATACAATATTATGTAAATATAGATTCAGTCCCAATACATCTCTTGCCCTATTATCCCTTATCCCTCTATTCTGGGCATTCACATCTAGGTATCCCGAGTGTTTTCAAATAACATTTGATTTAAATAATGAATGGTCAGAAAAGGACAAAGGAATGAAAAGAAGCCTGGATACTTCACTACAAATCTCCAGGGAAACACATTAAACATTAGAAGACAACACAATGTACTGATAAAGCTGTTAACTCACTGGCATCACATGTATGCCACCAAAGCCACTGTCAACAGGCTTGTTTCACTGGTTGCGAAATAAATGGAAACACACAGATGTAGCCTACATGATAGGTAGCAGATGGCTTGTGGTAAAGTGTCGACCTGGCGATGCCAATTTGCGTAACCTAACTCTGCTTGCTCACGGCGAGAGAGGAGAGAGAGAGTGAGTTACAGCCAGCAAGTTGGGTGAAGGGTGTGAAAAGTCTGGGTTAAAAGTATTTTCTGACATGCAATTTCTCCGCGTCCCTGTTGTTTCTTGTTTTAACCATTTTGGCACACTCTTTGTTGCAGATGCTGTTTAATAAAGGCACTGAGCCCAAAGGGGAGGGGTTTTAAATTGTGATTGGGCCAGCCAAGTGTCAATTAAGAAAATTTACCAATGGGCTGGACTACATGGAGCATAGTGTTAGTTCAGGCAGGTCACGGTGTCAAGCTCACCTCACATCCCAGCTACATCAGCTGATCTGAAGCAGCCCAATCAACTGATTGATAGAAGGGAGTCAGCTTATAGATCACATGGTTCCTTTCTGTGCAGCCAATTGGCAAATCTCATCCAGGGAGCCCTGTTTAAACCACTTTGGCCTGCCTACTATTGCTGCTTCCTCTGCAAGCCTCTTTGCAACCCGCCTCCACCTCAGCTCCTCCTTTTCTTGTTGTGTCTGACTTATCAGTGTCATTTCTGATTGTCACTGATGCTTGCTCTGCTCTGTACCCGGGGTCCATGAAGGCACATGGAAGGGCAGGGAGGTTTGGGCTGCCTGCCTCATGCTCTCCTCGTATGCATGTCAAAAGGCAGAGCGGTTTTCTTTCTCCAACTTCAGCTTTTGACATAGGCTTGTGGAAGGGCAGAGAGGTCCCAGAACAGAGCCATACTGCCAAATAGCAATTGAAAATGGAAATTAAGTTTTCTTTGACTAAAATAATCCTGACTGAACTGTATTGTTGGTTGGTTAGACAAATTAAAAAAAAAAGAAGACAGTTGTGTCAGCCCAAAAGGCATGTCCGCCCACCGGGACACTGCCTGGTATGCCAGATGGTCAGTCCAGCCCTGTATATATGACTGGTTTAGTTATGTAACAGATTTCATTTTATCTCTTTTGTTGAGTCTGTTTCATCATAAATTTGCCTTTATAAATTTATTTTAATGTCAGGCCTGCATATGTAAACAGCACTGGAATTTATGATGAATAAAATTGTCTATACAAAGCAGTCACATACCTGCAGGTGTAATATGTAGTTTTTACTAAATAATTAACTTTTTTAAACCTTATAACCACTTAAAAACTTAAAAAACTGTAAAAATGTGGGTAAAAAGATTTTGGTGTGCATCAGTCAGCAGTGCCCCTCAGATGTTGATGGCACATTTCCTTTTGATGCCACGTCTTAGATAACTCTCAGTTGTTTTCATGTGAAATGCCCACTTAGAGCCTTGAAGTAGACACTGTTTCCATAGTCAAAAAACAGTTTGATACTCTTTAAAAAAAAAAATAAAATAAAATAAGTATCATTATATTTTATATTTCCTTATGCCTTATCCTTTTCTACTTACACACTTTCCACCTGTTTGACAGCGGTACACCTGGGTCAGGAATTTTAGTTGTCTCTTTTTCATCCTCTCTGTTGATCCCCATCGTCCAGTGATTCGGACAAACAGCAGACCACTGCATTCATATATTTTGCTGCTACTTTGCCCCAAATCTGCCACTCAGTGAGACCAGGGCCTCTAGTTTCGCAGACTGGGCGAGGCGGAGGTGCAACACAGCTGCACTTCGCCAACTGGGTGTGGCCAGGCGGATTTTGCAAGTTTGGCACACTGTGCGTGCTGGCGCAGCTACTCCTCTTTCCCACCTCCGTCCCTCCTACCTCCGCAAGTCAGAAAGAGGGAGGAGAGAAGGCGTGGAGTGGGTTTTACACAGCCGATTCACATCACACCAATCAAATGAGCCCCTCTCCTCGCCCTTAAATGCACCGCGCGAAGGCATAATGAGAGTTTACTCAATTCGCCATGGCAGAAGAGAACAGCAGCGTCAGACGGCCAAACTTCTCCCAGGAGGAAACTGATGTTTTGGTCCAGGAGGTCCAAGCTCGCAGTGTCCGAATATACGGAACTGCGAGCTGACCTCCACGGGCTGATGATGCAAAGGTAGCCTGGGAGGAGGTCACCACAATTGTAAATCAATGTTACGTTTCTCTCGTGCGCGCGTGCGCTCTCTCTTTGTCTCTCGGAGTCTCACTGTTTCTTTTCTTTTGACTTTTCTAAGATGACAGATGCTGAATATATACTCCCTATCTGATGCTGTGGCTGTTTGTGGTTGGCTGAGAGGGATGTGAACTCATTAGTTTGCAGCTGTTTTAATCAAATCAGGTTGGGTTTCCATTATGCGTGCCAAACGTGCCAAACAGTGCCAGTCCCCTTTGATCTGACATCACATGTGACGGGACAGTCGATATAGAGATACGTTTATGTGCTGATTGCAGATAGTTGCATTGAATAGTGGTTTTTGTAGATATTTATTGCATTGTTAATGTGCCTGATATTCTGGAAACCTGCCTGTGAGGTTTTGGTGACGTGTGCGCACTGTCCGCCGGTCAGCCAAACTTTGACTTACACCGGCTGTTCTCTGCCTGCGCTGACAGTAGACCTGGTTTCAGCTGGCGAGCTTTTAGCGCACCTTCGGCGAAGCCTTTTGGCACGAAACTGTCACTGCACCAAGCTGGATCTGTCGACACCTCCCCCTGCTGCGCCGCCACACCCATCACAGCGCACCTCAGTCTGCCAAACTACCAAACAGAGCACGCCTCGGGTTGCGCTGCTCGAAACTAGCTCTGGCGCCACCCTGCGCCGTGCTGGGAAACTAAAGGTCCATGTGAAAGGGAAGCTGCAAAGCATCATTCTACATACATTCGTGTTTTGAATCACGACAAGTTATAACAAGTGCAGCCTGGTGTGTTTGCACATTTTAAATTCACATAAGATGCAAATATTTCAAACCACAAAGTAAGCTCTCTGGTTTTTTTTTATGTTTGTTTTTTTCCCCCTCAAACAGGCCTGGAGCATGTTTTTCTACTGTCATTGTTTTTCCACCATGCACCGGAAGTGGCTTGCTGCTGCACATGTAGCTCAGAACAGTAAGCTACAGTGCTGATGGGAAAAAAAAGTAACCTTGGGCATGTTAGCGGATTTGTGTCCACCTCTGCAGAAATAGATCGGCGTGGCTGCCAGAATGAGTTATTTGTAATGACAATGAAAATCCCTGTTAAGGCGCATCACATTTGTGTTCCATCCTTTTCCCCCGTGCTGCTGAAATGATTCTTTCAGCCCTCAGCAAACAGGTTTTGTTTGATAACCATGCAGCATATTTAGCACTCAGTCACAGTATTTTTTTTTCTGCAAAGCTCTATGAATAGAGCTGAGGGAAGTTCATTTGTCATTTAATTTCTCCACAGTGTAACATCAGGTAGCTGTCACAGCGTCTGGCAGCACCGTGGTTAGTGGTGGGCCTGAGAGAAAACTTGAAAATATTAAAATAGGTTTCTGTAAAATACAATTTGTCCAATGTATCTCACCTTCTCTCATAACATGTCAGTTTTGGTTCATTTTACTTTCAAAAGGCTGACACCCATTAATTGGTGACTAACCGGTTGATTGAGTGAGCTTTTGGGATGCATTTCAAAGCCCTTTTAGAGGCGATAAACTTTTTATGTTTTGTGATGTAAATGTCTTGCCTTTTACAGCCAGCCGCAGGTTGATGTGGAAACATGCCCATTTCAAAACTCTGCTCTCAGAACTCTACAGATTTCTTGGCCACTTTAGTGTGCACCAACCTAGGTCAAAAAGGAGCTAACAGTAGCTATCTAACTACGCTGCTCATTTGGCAACTTAAGCTTGTGGAATATGTTCCTGTGGAAACATTTTGCCTACACTCTGGTCTCTTTCCAGGTTGACCTGGTGAGTAAGCGGCTTCATTTTGAACAGCAAAACCCTTTTATCATTGTTTACTATGTTAGCACCATTAGCCGTGTTGACACTGCTTACAGTGCTAACAGAGCTAACAGTGATAACAGAGTCAACAATGCTAAAGGGGTTTTACGGCTCAGAACTTAGTCGCTTACTCACCGGGGCTATTGGGGGAGACTGGAGGGTGGGCGCAATGTTTCCACAGCAACCCTGATGAGTCTGAACTGTAATACTAGAACTGATGACCAGTTGAGCAGTGCCGCTAACACTAGCTAGCATATGCAGTATGCAGTGAAGTAAACTGAAGTGTAGCAAAACCCCTGAGAATCCCTTTAGACCAGGGATACTCAGCTTGCTTTGTTAAAGTACCACTTTTGCAAAATAATATATCAGGGGCCATAAGTCAAGTATCAATACTATAGACTGTCATGTGTAGCTGTTCAAAAATATTGTCTGCAGTTTACTGATTAACAGTTTACCGTTGACATCCCTACTCTCTCCCCACTGTCCACAGAGACCCCTCAGAAGGACGGTGAAGACGCTGCATCCTCGTCAGACTCTGCCTCAGACTCCGCCTCCTCACTCTTTGACCACTGGGGTCACGACCTGGGCCCAGAGAGTCGAAGGGTCGCCCTCAGGAAGTTCCGTTACTATGGCTACAACGGCTACCTTAGTGACCGCATCTCTCTCACCCGGTCGATCCCAGATTTACGTCCGGACGGGTCAGTCAGCCAATCAATGTGTATTGATTAATTGATGGAGATGTATAATGCTGAGTTTGCATATATGGATTCAACCTTAGTAGATTTTGTTAAATCTTTCTTTTAACAAACCTTTAAAAAAGCCTCTGATTCTCTCTGTTCTTTTCTGATCCTCTCTCCCTGAAGATGCAGAAACATTTCGTACTCAACAGATCTTCCTCAGCTCAGTGTCATCTTCATCTTTGTCAACGAGGCCTTGTCAGTATTGCTGCGCTCCGTCCACACAGCCATCCAGAGGACTCCGTCACACCTGCTCAAAGAGATCATACTTGTAGACGACCACAGCAACAGCGGTAAGAATCATACAACTTCCTCATAATTTCACCTTTATGATGTATTTATGATCTTGTTTTGATGCAATCCAGTTTAGAGATATGGACTGTATGCCCACCTTTCCCAGGTCCATGCTTAGCCTCAAATACAGAGTATTTATACCTCCATGCATCCACAGGGAGGAATCAATATGAGGTGGGATTAAAAGGTGTATCACATTTGGATATTTCTCTTGACAGTGATATTTTTCCCTGAAAGCAATCCCCTCTCTGCCAGAGCTTTTCAGAGGGGATTTTATAGTATTATCAATTTATATCTGCTCATTGATTGATTTTTTTTTTTTTTTTTTTTTTGCACAATTTTTTATTTCAAATTTGATCTTTTGTTCTTTTCATATGGGATATCTTAGAGAAAAACAAGGTCTACTGAACTCATATGTACATAATAAACCAATTTGGCCCACTGTTAATAGATATCTTTAAACAACTTCCAGCAGCCTGAAGGTTTATATGCATAAACCACATGGGGCACATAAATGGGACTGAGTGGTGAAAAAGTTATTCTGCCATACTTCTATAGAACTAGAGACCCTGTGGTCTGAAATTCCACAGGGTTTAACAGTGGCAGAAAATGCTGTGGCCAGGTCTGTACACCTCCGTCTTAATGGAATCTCCTGTATGTGGTCGTCCACACAACTGGTTACGTTTCAGATTTCAGGTTACTTATTGTCATATGCAAAACAATTACAGAGAAGCAGTCGCTGGCAATAAAACCTGAGTTTTCAGGCTCCCTCCAACAATGCTCACTAAAAATGTAAAAAACAAAAATCAGTCCAGTAAAAAAAATGAGAATCTAAGACATAAAACTACAGGGGTTTTAATATTGTATAACATATATAGAATGTTTACATATAGGTGTTCAGTAATTATGTTTCCATCTTTCTGTTAATCCATCTCATGCTCATGAACACAGTATTTCAGGAACACCTTTTGAGGAATTCTTTTCAAATTTGGCACAAACATCCATTTGGACTCTACAATGAACTGACTAGACACTGGTCAAGGTCAGTGTGACCTCACAAAATATGTTTTTGGCCATAAATCAAGAATTCATATACTAATTATGACAAAATCCCACACAAATGTCTATTAGGATAAAATGGTGAAGTGATGACATTTTATATCCAAAAGGTCAACACCACTTTGATGTGATAATGTACTGCAAAAACACTGGCCATTATTCAACATCATATCTTAGCAACAGAAAGGGAGACATTTGGTCAGATACTGAAATGGTGACACTTATCTTGGGTGTCCACCTTGAAACTTTGCTGATTGTATAGATCTTCTGTGCTGCTAAAGATGTGTGTAAAGCATCCACGTTTTAGAATTTGCAGCTTCTGTGCTGCAGCATCCATATTTTAAGAAGCTTCCGTAGTAGCAACTTCATGTTCTGTCTTGTTTCTCTGATAGTCCAATGCAGACTCATTGGTTTTGCTTATTGAGCTTCAGGTGATGCCATTGCACAATATGACAAAGCTTTCTCTCCATTCTCTGTGCTCCTCTGTCAAAATAGTCTCTAAGTAAAGACAGCATGTTTCTCACTGGAAATGATTCACGTGAGTCATATGTCAATAAAGTGATCTTTTCCATGTCCTAAAAAATATACACTTAATACCTTTTATTAAATTTCTGGTCAGACAAGAGTCAGAACAGACATGGATATAAAGTGCAACTTGACTGGTTGGCGGAGACAATAATTCAATTTTTTATTTTTATTTTTTGCTGTGGCTTAGCTCTTAACAGAATGTTGTTGCCTGATATCAGACAGAATTGTCAACTTGTTACACTCTATTTCCATCTTAAGTCTGAATTGCGTCCGCTCTGATCTCTTTAGGGAAGAGGGACTTGATTTTCCCAAACCAAACACTAGAGGGGGTTTTAAGAGTGGAGCGAAGTGAAGTGAAGTAAAACAAGCTGCAATGGACATGTCAATTAAGAACAGCCTTGATAGCAGCATTTATCTTCTCTATAGCAGTCACCTTTGTTTTTTTACTCCTCATTGGTTCCAGCGCACCACTTCACAAGGCTTGACAACAGCTTGACAATGGCGTTGGTCTTGCCTATGGCACTGATTGGCTAATTAAGTCCCCCCAGCAGCGCACATTAGATTGTTTTTTTCTTTTATGCAAAAACCTGCTGTTTCAAGTCACAATACCAGAAAAGTCGGTCAACTTGAACTGGGTGGAGTGAGTAGATTCAAAGGGTCTGGACCCAGGCACAGAATGTTGCACAGTGTAACCTACCATCTGAAAAACATTTCTGCCAGCGCTAATTTAAAACTAGACACATATCTATGTCAAATTGAGGTTTTTTTCTAAAATTATATTTCTAAACAAATTTAAAAGACAAAATGACCAATTGCACCAAAAAAGCAGAGCTAAACAAAGGTCAGAGGGCCTCCTCAAGGGTTACCAGATAGACAGGATCTTTTTCATGCTGGCAATAGCTGTGGCCAGAGGCATTATGTTTCAGGTTGCCTGTAGGGAATTTTTACAAATTTGGCACAAATGTCCAGTTGGAGTCAACAGTGAACTAATTAGATTTTAGTGGTCAAAGGTTACCATGGGGTAATTCCTTCAAATTTGGCACAAATGTTTACTTGGACTCAAGGATGTACTGATTATAATATGATGATTTAAGGTCAAAGGTCAAGGTCACTGTGATGTCACAAAATATTTGGTAGCAAATGGTAGGAAAATTTCCCTCCTCTTAAAAACTTGAAGGACTAACTCCTTGTTTACTGTTCTGACAACACCACAGCCAAATAATAGCCAAATAAAGAGTTGATGTAATTTACAACAGTTTGATTGAGAGTTATTCCTCACAGAACAGGCAAACATCTAGAGTTGAATAATTACAGTAAGTATGCACTCCTGTAGGTGAGCTATAGCCTAGACTGTCTATATTTTATGTCCCACTTATTTTATATTCTGCCTTTGGTGGTGAACAAGACCAGGACCCATGCAGCCATTAGCTGCATCAGTGGTGTATGAAAACAAATTAAAACTTATTGCAGCATTTGCAGGGTGCGAGTTGTCTGTTAGAAGACCGGTGTTAATAATTGCATCACGTTCTATAGAACATATTTCACTGCTGCCAAATCTGTAATTACCATTATGAGAAATCTGTCTCTGCTATAGTCGCCTGCAGATTTTATGGGTCTCTCACTGCACCTCTGTTCTTTGCTAATACAGTATATCAGAGTTTAGTTATGGTAGCTGCACAGGGTTGAATGCTGATTAGTAGAGCAACCAGGGGTATAAATAGATTCAACATTTACTTCATAGTATTTCCCCCTAATGCAATACAACTGTTGAAGTAACACTTTTGTGGGAAATGCGATTTAATACATTTGCTTTGCAGTGAATAACAATTGCATGCTGGTAATTCACACTGATGGTAACTGATGGAAGATAACTCAGTGCATGATCATTATTTTAGCTTATTGATCGTACATGGTGTAATTATGACAGATGAGGGTCAGCTGAGGCTAGATGAGGGCAAAAGTGGAAATGCATTCATATTCATTATGTAAATTAGCAGAATCAGGGGTTGTATTCATGAAGCTTCAAAGTGCTGATCACTGAACCATGTAAGCCTACATTAACGTCACAATGACTATACTTTGAAATATTTTGTTTTGCTGTTAGTCAAATCGCTACATCATAACTTGTGCCAATTAAACAATTTATTCAAAATTGGGACTGTAAGTAACGACTATTTTTACTATCATTTAACAAATATGTATGTATGTACTGGTTAATTGTTTAGTCTGAGTCTGACAAGTTCAGTCTGAGATGGACTGCCATAAAAATTGGTTCAAATATTCATCTTACAGAATGAAGTGTAATAACTTTCAGTCTTAACAAGTCCAGTTTTTAATTTGTCCAGTACTTTGGTTCTTGACCAATAACAGCACAGATAATGACTTTCCCATCAGTCTCAGCTGTACTTCGTGTTTTATGCTAATTATCAAATATTAGAATGCTATTATGCTAAACTTAGATGGTGAGTATGGTAAAAATTATACCTGCTAAACATTAGCATGTTAAAGGGAAAATTTACCACCTTTTTTGTGGATGTCCAAGCAGGGTTGATGGTAAATGTAGTCAATTGAAGCAATAAAATCCTCAGTGTGTGCCGAGAAAGCGGAGTTCAGCAGCTGCATAATCCGTTCTTCCTACTTCCAGTTACGTCATTTGACCTGACAGTGAAGAAGTTGGAAAGAGGAAGAACTAAAAGCTATTTGAGCTTAGATTTCTATTGTCTACCTCCGGGAGGCCAGGGGACATGCTCTAAATGCCCCTCAGAAAAGAACTTCCTTGTTCTCTTTGCCTTTATTGAAGACTAGCTACATTTCCAACGGGAAAAATGGCATCCCAAAGTATGAGTGTTGTGGATTTAATGGATGGGGATATGTTTGACAGTGTCTTGGCAGATATTCAGCCATATTTATTTTAGCCAGCATATGGCTGAGGAAATGCAGTGGAGAGAGACTGAGGCTGTGGCTGCAGCCCAACAAGAAGGTATGTCCAGCAGAGACCCCCCACAACCTGAGCTGCTGAGAGCAAACGGTGGTTGATGGTACCTTTTTCTCAAATAGACAGCAGACATAAACTGAATCATTCTGCTACAACAAATTTTAGGGTGGGCAGTTTTGTTGGATGCTATCGTGGACGACAACCTTGTGAGAGCCACTTCGGTAACGTAAGCTGCTGAGTGCTAAAGCCTGTGTGTATGTTATGCATAAAAGTTTTGATTGGACTATTGGACAAATATATTGGTGACTGGCTAAATACATTGTCAGTTGTTCTTTTTTGAGGGTGAGGGGGGCATTTTTATCTATTTGACTTTCTGCCTCCAAAGACCAAGTAAGCAACCCAGTCTCACTCTGAAGTCGTTGAAAACTGGCGCCTGGCCAGTGACTTCCGGCATCAGACACTGATGAAAAAAGCCAT